CCAACAACACTCTTGCAAACACGCGGAAAGTTCCTGAAGAAGCAGGGCAAGCAGCAGCCCTGCAAAGTAAGACAGCAAGGAGGGCAAAGACCGTCTGTATGTCAGGGAACCCGGCGTCAGGAGAAGCGGCAGAGTGGCTGGAGTGGGTGGGCGGAGCCAATGTCCACAAAAAGGCTGCGACCACAAGAAGGCTCTGCGGGGCTTCAGTGGGTGCAGCCCCACTGCAGATCCAAGAGCATGTGGGCTAGTGAGAGATGTCAGCCTGTCCCTCTGGGGTGAGACCAGAAGGGACAGGGCCACGCGATCCAGATCTCAGCCTCAGCTTCCATGCTGTTGTGAAGACAATGAAATCTTTTTTTTTTTTTTGAGATTTATTTCATTCATTTGAAAGATAGAGTTACAGTGAGAGGTAGAGACAGAGAGAGAGGTCTTCCATCCGATGGTTCACTCCCCAATTGGCCGCAACAGCCAGAGCTGTGCCGATCTGAAGCCAGGAGCCAGGAGCTTCTTCCAGGTCCCCCACCCCCCACCCCGTGGGTGCAGGGGCCCAAGGACCTGGGCCATCTTCTACTGCTTTCCCAGACCATAGCAGAGAGCTGGATCGGAAGTGGAGCAGCTAGAACTCAAACCAGCGCCCATATGGGATGTCGGCACTTCAGGCCAGGGTATTAACCGGCTGCGCCACAGCACCGGCACCAACAATAAAATCTTAAAGTTACTTTTCACTTAAAAACAAATCTGCCCTCTGTCCCCTCCTCTGTGTGCCCCTAACAAAGTTTTCCAGGATGGCCTTAGCAAAGCACCATGGACAGGGGCTCAGCCACAGCAGTGCCCCACCCTCAGGAGGCAGAAAGCCCAATAGCATCTCCCAGGCCTGCAGGTGGCTGTCTTCATGGGGTCTTCCCACTATGTCCAGTCTCCTCCTTTTTCTATTTTTTTTTAAAGATTTATTTATTTATTTTACAGAGAGAGAGGGAGAGATACACAGAGAGAGCTCTTTCATCTGCTGGTTCCCTCACCAGATGGCCACAGGGCCAGAGCTGGGCCAAGATGAAGCCCAGCTTCTCCCAGGTCTCCCAAGTGGGTTCAGGGGCCCAAGGACTTGGGCTATCCTCCACTGCTTTCCCAGGTGCATCAGCAGGGAGCTGGATGGGAAGTGGAGCAGCCCGGACACAAACATGCATCCATATGGGATGCTGGCACTGCAGCAGAGGCTTAACTTACTACTGCACGGTGTTGGCCCCCAGGGTCGGTCTCCTCTTACAAGGCCATGCCCTATTCGCCCATGATGGTAACTCCAGGCTAATATGACATTTTTTAGTGACCCCATCCCGTGTCCAAATTCCATCACAGTCTGAGACCTTCCAGCGTAGGACCTCAACACACAAATTGGCAGAAGAACACAGTTCAGGCCATGGCAAGGCCCATTACTGCCTCATACTGTGGCTACCATGAACCCCTGCTTCTGCCAAGTGTGCTTCCCAAAGTTCCCAGCAAGGACCGTGTCTTACTTCTAGCATCAGAAAAAAGTAGTACTGGTGTCGGTCCATGTCCTGGCCGCCCCACTTCCCACCCAGCTCCCTGCTGGTGGCCCAGGAAAGCAGTAGAAGATGGCCCAAGTCCTTGGGCCCCTGCACCCAGGTGGGAGACTCAGAAGAAGCTCCTGACTCCTGGCTTCAACCTGAAGCATTTTGGCCGTTTGAAGAGTGGGCCAGTGGATGGAAGATCCTCTCTCTCTCAATAAATAAATCTTTTTAAAAAGAAAAGGAAAAAGTAATTAATGAGTTATTCTGGAGGAATCTGGGCTGTCCTTTTCCCGGCTCAGGGAAGCCACCTTGGATGCCATATTCTCCGACATGCCTCATCTCTGAGGTCACGTGTCTCCATTTTTCCAGCCCATGGCCTCCAAGTCTGGATTTGCGATCTTGGATTTCAGGTTCCACAGGGAACAGGCAACAGGCAGAGTCACGATGCGTGCATTGTCAGGGAGCGGTGAGGTCCACTGTGAAACCAAACTCACACACTCACTCTTGCCACAATGAGGGAGATAGGTAGGTGCCTGTGTGGTCCCAACAGGAAATAGCACAACCAAATTAAGACACTTGGAAAAGGGTTAATTTGCAAAGGGACCCATCCCCGCGGAGGAGCAGGGTACTGGGGAGCTACAAGAGAGTGCAGGAGCCTTGAGTCCTGTGACAATGTTGCTCCATACAGAAGGCAGGATTCAGGCTCAGTTGATACAACAAAATCTGCAGTGGATAAATCAACCCACACAGCATGCAAAAGTCCCCACCGCATCAGAAAACCCAGTGTGGTAAACAAAACAGAAGGGTTTTCCCTTTCATCGGAGAGTCTGGCAGTTTGGTCCCCGGCAGGTCCAGCACCCTGCAGAGTCAGGGACCCAGGCACCTTCTCTCTGCTCCTGCTCTGTGATAGGTGCTGCCGCAGTGCCCACCTGGTGACCCATAATGACTCCTGCAGCCTTGGCTGTCACGCTGGGGCTCCAGCTGGCCAGAGAACAAGAACGGAATGAGAAGTGCATGTCCCCTCCCGGAAGGATGCTTCTGTTTCCATTATCCTGGCTGCAGTTGGGTTACACTGGAGGCTGGGAAATGGAGTCCTCTCCAGTGGCCATGTGCTCAACCAAAAGTTCTAGGTGTATACAGGAAGTAGATGAGATTTGGAGAACATCAGGAGTCGCATGTCTTAGAGTTAGTCACATATATTCTACTCTCAGCACCTTGGAGGACTGGCTCTTGAGAGAACCAAAAGAAATTATGATAACAGTTCTGAGAGTCATTGCTTCTAACATACCTTTTTTTTTTTAAAGCATTTTTATTTACTTATTTGAAAGTCAGAGTTACACAGAGAGAGGAGAAGCAGAGAGAGAGAGAGAGGTCTTCCATCCGATGGTTCACTCCCCAATTGGCCACAACAGCTGGAGCTGTGCCTAACCGAAGCCAGGAGCCAGGAGCCTCCTCCAGGTCTCCCACATGGGTACAGGGGCCCAAGCACTTGGGCCATCTTCTACTGCTTTCTCAGACCATAGCAGAGAGCTGGATCGGAAGTGGAGCATCCAGATCTCGAACCGGCGCCCATATGGGATGCCCGTGCTCCAGGCCAGGGTGTTAACCCGCTGCACCATAGCGCCAGCCCCTCTAAGATAACTTTTGACAGCTGCCTGGAATAGCTCATGGCATGGGAAGAGTTTGATAGATATCTGAGAATTATTTGCTTAAAATATAAATATTTCTTACCTTTAACTGTTATCTAAATATTGCTTAAATGTGGTCAGCGTGGTGCGCCGGCCGTGGCAGCCATTGGAGGGTGAACCAACGGCAAAGGAAGACCTTTCTCTCTGTCTCTCTCTCACTGTCCACTCTGCCTGTCAAAAAAAAAAAATTAAAAATGTAAATATTCCTTGGCTACATCTGCTATACAATGCATTGACAGACTTGGGCTGCTCCACCCAGCTTCTTGGGGAGGTCACCAAGACATTTCTGGAAGGATCGGAAATAGTACCAGCTGCTGAAATCCACTGTAGCCTTGGCATGTTGGAGGGGGGAGTGACATATTAGTATTCTATCCTGTCAAGCCATAGCAATCTGTCCCATCACCTATTCAACATCCAAATTAGAGATCATATTTTCCCTGGACTCAAGAAGATAGAAGCTGAGCATTCAAACTGGTGTCATCCAGGCAGTCTTTGCTACATTGTAACATATATTGGGACAGCAACCCTTAAGTGACAATTTGGCAACATCTAGCAAAATTACAAATGCACAGACTTTGTGATGGGGCAACACCAACTCTGGGGGGTATCTTTGTGTTACACATGTGCTGGTGACAAGTTACAAGTGACAAGTTTCACCACAGCCGTGTTTGTATTAGCTGCAATTAGCTCCAGGAATTAGCAGACCTGGATTGTTCTCCCAGTACCTGGCTCTGGCCATGGCCCAGCCCTGACTGTGGAGATGCAGAGCAGTGAAGATGGAGAGCAGTGAGTACTGTATGTCACCACTGGCCAAAGAAAGCAAACAGTATATGTATTTGCAGGGGCTGGTATTTGAATAGAACTTTGCAAGGACAGATAAGTAATGGTAACCCAGCCACAGAACTGGGTGACGGGGAGGGGATAAGAGTGCAAAACAAAATTTTCATTGCATGCTTTTGAGTTTTAACCATGTGAATATATATTACATATTCAAAAATAAACAAAATAACAGCAACCAATTAGCATCATATATTGGTATATATATATATATATATTGACAAGCAGAGTGGACAGTGAGAGAGAGAGACAGAGAGAAAGGTCTTCCTTTTCATTGGTTCACCCCTCAATGGCCGCTGCGGCCGGCGCGCTGTGCTGATCCGAAGCCAGGAGCCAGGTGCTTCCCCTGGTCTCCCATGCGGGTGCAGAGCCCAAGGACTTGGGCCATCCTCCACTGCACTCCCAGGCCACAGCAGAGAACTGGACAGGAAGAGGAGCGACCAGGACAGAATCCGGCACCCTGACCGCGACTAGAACCTGGTGTGCCGGCACCGCAGGCAGAGAATTAGCCTATTGAGCTGCGGTGCTGGCCGGTACATATATTTTTATAAATATATATGTGTGTGCATATATATACATATATATATATATATTCTCAATTTGAGAGGCAGAGAGAGACCACTCCCACCTGCTGGTTCACTCCCTAAATGCCTGCCACAGCCAGGGCTGGGCCATGGCCAGAGCCAGGTACCGGGAGAACAATCCAGGTCTGCTAGTTCCTGGAGCCATCACAGCTGCCTCCCAGGGTCTGCATTAGCAAGATGCTGGGATCTGGGGCCAGAACACTCTGATGTGGGGTGGGGTTATCTTAACCATTAGGCTGAACACCCACTCCTCACATACACTCTTCTTCCAAGTATGTTTCTCTAGATATATTCGGCTGATTGTCCTACTAACAAGAGAAAAAAATGATCACTGTTTTTGGTAAGTATGGGAGGGAGAAATGGATGCACCGGCTAGTTTCAGCAGCAGCTACCAGTACTGTCCCAGGCACACCTGCCTTGTGGAATTTTATTCAGTGCAGAAGGCACCTTGATCTCCCCTCCCCTGGGGCTCTGAGTATCCTAGCTTCTCTGTGAGCGAGGAAAGCAGGGGTGGGGGGAAGCACCGTCAGGAGCCGAGGGACATCTCCAAGATAAGGGGGGTCCTTGTCCCATTTTGGTGATGGGGCACCTCTCACCGCTGTGCTGCAGGGATTCTGGGGTTGGTGGTTACAGGAGCCAGAGAGAGAATCTTCTGTGACAGGCCTGTGCAGCATGTGCCAGCACTGGTGTGAAAGAGACCGATGAGTAAATATTTGTACAGCCAGCATTCTTTCTGGACTAAACAAGAAACTGTAACAGAAGTTGCCTCTGGGGACCTGGTGGAGGAAGTTTGCTTGTACCAGATAGACTTAGTACTGCTTGAGTTTTATTTATTTATTTGTTTAAGATTCATTTATTTGAAAAGCAGAGTTACAGAGAGAAAGAGACAGACAAAGAAAAAGAGATCTCCCATCTGCTGGTTCATTTCCCAAATGGCCACAACAGCCAGGGCTGGGCCAGAAGCCAGGAGCTTTATCCAGGTTTCCCACGTGGGCAGCAGAGGCCCAAGGACTTGGACTGCCTTCTGGTGCTTTCCAAGGAGCATTAGCAGGGACCTGGATTGGAAACAGAGCAGTGATCACTCCCTGGAGTGGAACCTGTGCTCCTATGGGATGCCAGGGCCACAGGCAGCAGCTGCACCTGCTATGCCACAAGGCCCGCCTCTTGAGTTTCACTTTAAGCAGGTGCTACCCACTACCCATTGAAAGAAGAAATTCCAGTTCAGGAATTCTCTGCCTCAGTCTGTCTGTCCCTTCCTCCCTCCCTCCCTCCCCTGCTCCTTCCCTCTCCTTCTCCATAAGCCATACCTACCCTGTAAACAGCATGGCTTCCTTGCTCAGAGAAGTCACCCTAGGAGCAGAGGAACTTTTGAGCTTACTGGAAGAGGAGTGGTTAGGAATTCTCTCAGTCTCTGAGCTGGAGTTCTGCGCCTGCACACAGTCCAGCCAAGGAATGTTCCCTTTGCATGTTGCACATTTCTTTCTCCTGTAGTTCAAGATCAGTGGGCTCAGCATTCCCAGAACCTCCGACTCTCCTCTGGGCCAAGGGAGACTTGAAGGAAAGGACTCCCTCCTAAGGGGAGCACTAGCCCTGAGCACAGAGCCCACAGGTGGCCAGGAGGAGGGGTACCTGCAGCCCATGGTCCTCACCAACCAGGCTTGCCGTGGAAACAGGTGAGCAGGGATTTCAGCTGGGACAGGTTTCCCACGGCTGCACACGCCCAGGGCAAAGGAGAGCAGGATCCAAAGGCGATTGCTTGGTGCTGCCCTAAAGCGTTAAAAGGACCAGGAGGACCTTGTGTTGGTATGGAAGACACGTTCAAGCCTTACTGGAAACTGGAAAAGGTTACAGAGCGTGCATGCACACAGCCTGGAAAAGATGTTCAGCAAGAACCTGGCAGTGGCTGGTGGCAAGGGTGATGTCCATGCAACAGGGACAGTTGCTTTCCATAGTATTTAATGCTTTGTTATTCACATGGGCATGCATTTGCTTCAAAAAGCACTTCTTGCATTCCATTTACTGGTGGTCACAGAGGTGGGGGACACAGACTGTGCAAGAGGTGGGGGGAGCGCTATCCCCCAAATCTCCAGGAAATAGACTGTGAGACCCCAAAGGGAGAGAAGATCCCAAGGATCTCAAAGAGAGGAGCAAGCAGACTCTGCTTTGAGCCCTTCTCATGCCCGGGCAGGTGCAGGTGCAGGGGCGGGGCGGCGCGCAGTGGTTAGACAGAGATTTGGATTAGACCGGGTCTGAGTGGTCTGTATTTCCCACCTGGGACTACAGAGGTGTGCAGGGAGGCGGCGGGAGGGCTCGGGTAGTTCTCCTGTGGTGCCTGGTGGTGTGTCATTTTAATGAAGAGAGAAATTCAAAGATAAGATGCAGGTATAGGTATTGGAGGGAAGTGTGTGTTGGAGAGGGAGGGGGAAGTGGAGAAACAGGTGACATGCCCAGTCTCCTGCCTTTCACTTTCCCCATCTCCCTTCACCGCCCAGGCGCGCAAGGCAGAACTCCCGGGCTCTGCGGCGGCGCTGTGGGCTGGAACCCACCTGCCAGGAGTCGCACGCCCACGCGGTGTCCAGTGTGTTCCGCGGGCCTTCGGCCATGCACCCGCGCGGCTGGGTTCCCCCCAGAGCGCGGGCTCCCGCTCGGAGATGAGACTGGGGAGCTCTCAGAGCCGCAGCGGATTCCCGACTTGCGATGGGATCCGGCCAAGCCGAGCGAGGGCTCCGGGCACCCGAGAGCGCCTTACCCGGGTCCCCGACTCGCCCCGCGCATCTTCCCCTTCCTGTGGCGGCCCAGAGGTAGCAGCCGGAGCACGGCGACGAGCCACACACACACACACACACACACACACACACACCGCCGCCGCCGCCACTATCGACAGAGCCTGACCGGGGCTGGAGTGGTCGGTTCCCGGGCTGGTTCCTGAAAGGCGCGTGCCGGAGAGAGCCAAGGAAGAGCGCACGCCGCGGTGCGGGGGACACCTGTTCGAGGATGGGGTCAGAGCCGCACCAGTCAGGCTCGCCAGGTCCAGAGAGGGAGTGGAGTAGAGAGGGTGGCGTGGCTGCCAGGAGCCATATCAGGCCTTCCCCAAACGCCTCAGAGGGCGACGGAGGCACGCGCTGCTGGAGACTCGCGGTGCTACTTCTTAGAGCAAGTTCCGAGCAGCGCCGCAGCAGTGCGCCCGCCTCTGCCCGCGGAGGCGAGCGGTTCCCCTCCTTCCGCCCTGCAGCTCCTTCCTGGTGCATCCCGCAGTGGGACGCTGGGCCCCAAGCGCCCACTCTCCTCCTGCCCCCCCCCCCCGCAGACCCAGGGTGCGTGGCTGTCACCTACTGGGAACCTGGAGAGGGTCTCTCCCGCGCTCAGCGGCCGCTGCTTTCTCCAACGAGGCTCTTCGCAGCCCCTGAACCGCTCGAGGTCTCCGGGTTCACCTTACAACCAAAGGGAGCGCACGCCATAGCAGGTTCCTCACCTGACCAGGGACGCCCCCATCGGTGCTCGCCGACAACCCCCCTCCATCTGGGTTAATGAGGACTGCGGCAAGGGGGGTGCACCTCAGGGAAGGCAGGTGCAGGCTCCCTCCGAGGATCAGTGGGGTGGGGGTGGGGGAGCAGAGGCTCTGGAAGCCCTGGCGCTTGGCATCCTGTGAGCTGGAGGCTGAACCCCAGCCTGCAGGGACCTCCGGTCTTGCTCTTCTTCATCCCTAAAACGGGAACCAGTGCCTCTCTCTCCGCATCTCAGGGCGGGCTGCCAGACTGGCCCGAGAGAGCAGACTGTAAATGGAACTCAGGAAAAGTTCTTCTCCCGAGCCTTCTCAGTCCAATCGCCAGGTCATTCCACTGGGAGCTTGGGGACAAGTTAATTTCAAAGGCGCTGATGAAAACCTGCCTGTGGGTGCCCCGCCTGTTTGCAGAGGCTGGAGGGTCCCACGGGAGGGGCTGACCATGAATCTGGGTTTTGCCAGGTTGCTTTTCATTTGTTGTTTTCTTTTCACTTCCTGGTCCAGCCCCCCTCTCTCCCCAGGCCCTGGGCATTCCTCTGGACCTCTCCAGAGCCCCTAAACCTAAACCAGGCCCCAGCAGGGGGTCCCCGGGCCTGCAGTGCCTCACAGGCCTTCAAAAAGCTGAAGCATCAGTAGAGCAGAGACATTGAGAGGAGAGGGACGCATTGGGTTCTCAGATCTCCCAGCGGACTCACCCTTGGGAGCCAGGGGTAGCTTCCAGAAATTCGAATGAGAACCAGAGACTGAGAGAGAAAGACTCAAGATCTCCAAGGCTCTGATATCCCCTGGATTCACCCTGTGCTCCCAGCCTTAAGCCAACATCCACACCTCTCTAAGCCACAACTTCCCCATCTGTAAAATGGGCCAGGGAGAGAAGAAATAAAACCAAATCTGTCAGGACTCTCTGAGTGCCTGGCACAGCTTCCCCCACAGCTAAGAGGTCACAGTTGTCATCAAAAGGAAGCCACCAGCCCTATCATTTTATCAGCTCCGCACCACGCCAGCAATCCTGGTGACAGACCTCACGTGCAAGGTGACCAGCAAAGAAATACAAAGTTTCACACCAGCCCCAGTACACCTGCACGTGCGAGCTCTCAGAAGTATTTGCCCAGCGCCTGCTGCCTGTCAGGGCCCCGCGGGACGCGGGCATGACCCTGGACAGCTCCGGGAGCTGAGTTTTGCGAGGACCGCCAACCATTAGTTTGCAGAGTTCTGACTTCTGCCGGGGGTCTCACCGCGCACGGTCGGGCGCCGAACGCCGCCGTTCCACGCATCTCTCCTGGCTTCCGGACCAGAAACACCGGCGGAAATTCGCTTCTTTTTGTCCTCTCTTTTCTTTCCGGTGCCGGGAGCCTGGCCTCCCACCGCCACCTCTGGCCAGCTCGGCTCAAGGACGCAGCTCTCCCTGGCAGCCAGGCGGAGACGTCGCTTGAATGTGAGCAGGAACTCGGGGAAGCGAGAGAACCGAAAAGAAAGGCCCGGGAGGGACCGGGAAGCGGTGGGAGGTCTGCGCCCTGCGGCCCCGCGCGGCCCGCCCCGGCCGGTTTGGCACAGGCTCCGCCCGGGGCCTCCAGGCGGCCGAGCAAAGGCCGGCCCCAACACGCACCGGGCCTTTTGTGCGAGGGAAACACAAAGAAGGGAGGGGGGAACACGTCTTCCGTTTGGGCGGAAGGGGCCAACGGCTCCGGAGCGCCAGGGCCAGACTGGAACTCCCGGAACGGAGGCCGATTCGCCTCGGCAAGGGAGCATTCAATCCCTGGGCAGGGCTGCGGCCCACCTGCGCACGCCGGCGGCGAGGGAGGTTCGCCCAGGATGGGCCCGCGGGGCACTGGGCACTGGCTCCCCGACCAGGGCCGGGATGCCTCCTGGGCGCACGTGGCCAAGCACAGGAGGCCGAGTTTTACTGTTTGGTTATTCGTGCGGGGCGCAGTGGGCACAGGAAGACAGTGAGTGGTGTTTTGAAGGAGCCTGGGGGACCCCATGGGCCCCGTGGCCTAAACAGCTCCGGCGAAGGGAGGATATGGGTGCTGCAGACCGGGCCTGCAGCTCTGAGTGCCGACCGAAGCGCCGGGCGTGGCGAATAAGGACCGCGAGACGCCGCCGCACAGACCCCGCTGCCTCGGCTCGGCTCGGAAGAGCGGGGCCGGAGCCTGGAGCGTCCTCCTGTGCGCCTACGCACGGACCTGGAGAGCCAGTCAGCTCTCCTGCCTGGTCCCCATCTCTTCCAGGCGCTAGTCTAGCGCCGCGCCCGGGGAGGGCGCCGCCAATATTAAGCCCTTGTCTCCTCCAAGTCCTGCCATTGGCCCCGAGCGTGTTTGAAACCTTGGCCCGCGCACTCTCGCGGAGGGCCGGACGCACGAGACACCAGTTGGAAGCAACAAAAGGCGGCAGCCAGGCTCCGGACCGGTGCGGGCGGCCGCCACCGAGGCGCGCGCCTGCTGCGCCCGCTGGCGTGGATTGGACAGACGCACCGGTAGGTGCCCCTCTCCGCGCCCCGGCTCGCGCGCCTCCGCGCCAGGCCCCACTTGCGGGTTTTGGGGGCTGCCCGCGCTCTTCCCGACGGTCCCGCCTGCCTCTCCCTGGGTTCCTCCTGGTGACAGATTCCGCTAATTGAGCGGTTACGGGTCGTCCTTGTAACGGTTGGAAGACACATCGCCACGCGTCAGTTCTTCACGTCTTAAATACATATTTAACGGATGGCTGCCGAGCCAGCTGGGGAACACGCGGGCAGAGATACTGCTCCGGAAGGCACGGGCATGGGACCGAGGCGGGAGCCCGCTGAGCGTCCGAGGGGAGACCCCAAAGAGAGGCTGATCTCGGAAATAAGGGCTTTTTGTTCCTTTTCGCAGTGGCTTATTTTTGTCACTTTGCTACACGAAGGCCCATTCTTTGCTACGTGTATTTACGTTTGCTGGTTTTGGAAAAACACGCGTGCACATGAACAATTCCCAGAGGAAGCAGGTGACCAGAGGAGCGCGCAGCACGCCTCGGGTGACAGAACCCGACCTGTGCGCGCGCGCGCGCGCAGCCTCAAGAGCGAGCTCGCACCCCAGATCAGAAGCAGCAAACTTCGGTGTCCCCAGTGGGAGGCCCTCCGCTCCGCTCCGGTTGGTTGGGGGTTAGGGGAGACCGGGGTCCGCCTCTCCTGGTCCAGGCGGGTTTCACTGAGCCGAATTAGTCCGAATTGGCCCCCCCTCCCCCGCCCAACTCTTTGCTCTCCAGGTTCCCTCGTGGGTCCCTCCACGTCCGCGTTTGCAATCCGGGCAGGGCTGAGCTATGAACGCTTGGCAAACTCCAACCCCCGCCTCTCAGTAGTCTTGCTGCAGATTCCGATTCTAGATTATCCCATCTGTAAAATGGGCGAATGCGTTCTGCGCTTCTCCGGAGCGGATTTAATTCCTCATGGTCAAAGGTTTTCAGCCTTCCTCCGGTAAAACGTGTCCAAACGGGCCCGCAGGCTGGGCTGGGCCGTCCCGCTCCGCGGCCCGCAATGCGGAGACGCCTTTGCTGGGTCTTTGCGCGTGGACCCCTTCCCTACGGCGCAGAGGCCCTCACAAAGGCGAGGGTACCGTCCTCAGGCCTCCTGATAAGAAATGGGGGAGTGGGGTGAGGCACACGGCTTTCCGGGGAGTGGAACTCCCTCTTCCCCGAGCTTTCACCACCCCCCAACTCTGAGATTCCTTTCAAAGCTACGTTCTGGACTTGGTTCCTTCCTTGCCTTCTCTCTGCCCTTAGGGCCCTGTCCCCAGCTGGTGGCGCCGCCGCCAGTGACACTGACCAAGAAGGTGCAGCTTTGGGGCCCACGTGTTGATGAAACCCACGGAGGGGGGGGCACGGCGGCAGGAAAGCAGAGAGGAGGGAGAGGGAGAGGGAGAGGGGGAGAGAGGAGAGAGAGAGAGAGAGAGAGAGAGAGAGAGAGAGAGAGACTAGGTGAGAGTCCTGGGTCGCGGTCGCGTGGGAAGTCGCGGGGGACTGCGGGCACAGTCCCACGCCCCAGCCTCACTCCGCGGCGCGTGGGCCACGCTCCTCCTCGCCCCGGTCCCCGGCTCCCCGCGAGCCTGCCCGCCTCCTCCCTCTGGCTCGGGCTGTCCCTCCGCGGGTCCCTCCTCCAGTCCCTGCTAGCGAACCTCGCGAGCGCGGGTGCCCATTGGCTGCGCGCAGGCAGGAGGCGTGTGCCGGGCCGGGCGGGTTTCATTGAGCGGAATTAGCCGGGATGACATCAGCTTCCCAGCCCCCGGGCGGGCCCAGCTCATTGGCGCGGCTACCCCTCCAGGACCGGCACATTGTTCCCCGCCCCCCGCCCGGGCCGCCGCCGCCACCCGCCTATAAAAACCGGCCGAGCCCCGAAAGGTGCGGATGCTTCTCACCGAGCGACGCGGCATCAGCGCCCGGGACCCGGCTTTCCACGGCGGCGTTTCGGGGTCGGCTCCTCCAGGAACTCCAGCTACGGTAAGTGTCCCCGCCCTCCAGCTGAGCTCCCAGGGACCGACGCCCCCCAACTCGGCTGCGACCCAAGATGCTGCCCATTAAGGGGGCCCGGGTCCCGCCCTCGCCAGCCAGTTTGCGGGAGCGGTTGCGGGGCTCCGACCCCCTGCACTTTCACCGTAGCATCTCCTCGCCAAGTCCCGGGTGGCGGCGAGCGAGGTGCCCGCGGACCCCACACCAACATGTGAGGCGTGCGGCTGCCGGGTGCGTGTGCGCGCGGGGGTTTGTTGCGGGGTGTCAAAAGACAGATCGTAGCTGCATCTTAAGAACCAAATAAATAGTTCTCTCTACGCAGAACTCCAACCTCCCCAAAGAAATCCCTCACTTGCCCCCTCGTTCTTTCCAGCCCCGAAACCCCAGCCTCCCCGTTCCTAACCCAAGGCACAGATCCTCCAGGATGCCACCCCCACGGAGGGTCTCATAATATTCCCCGAAACAACCTGTGGATGCGGGGAGGACAGAGGTCACTTACCCGCACCCGGGCCTGGACCCTGAGCAGACAGGAGCAGCTGTCCCATCCCGCTGAGCGCTGAGTCCGTCTTTCTTTCTCTCTCTCCTCCCCCTCCCAACCCTTGGAAGCTCTGAGAGCCGAGGGAGAGAGGACCCTGCGAAGGCAGCGACTGTGCCCCGGGGCCATGGACTCGGACGCCAGCCTGGTGTCCAGCCGCCCGTCGTCGCCGGAACCCGATGACCTTTTCCTGCCGGCCCGGAGCAAGGGCAGCAGCGGCGGCGGCTTCACGGGGGGCACTGTGTCCTCGTCCACGCCGAGCGACTGCCCGCCGGAGCTGAGCGCCGAGCTGCGCGGAGCCATGGGCGCGGCGGGTGCGCACCCCGGGGACAAGCTGGGCGGCGGCGGCGGCTTCAAGTCCTCCTCGTCCAGCACCTCGTCATCCACGTCGGCGGCGGCCGCGTCGTCCACCAAGAAAGACAAGAAACAGATGACCGAGCCGGAGCTGCAGCAGCTGCGGCTGAAAATCAACAGCCGCGAGCGCAAGCGCATGCACGACCTCAACATCGCCATGGACGGGCTGCGCGAGGTCATGCCGTACGCGCACGGCCCGTCGGTGCGCAAGCTCTCCAAAATCGCCACGCTGCTGCTGGCGCGTAACTACATCCTCATGCTCACCAACTCGCTGGAGGAGATGAAGCGCCTGGTGAGCGAAATCTACGGCGGCCACCACGCCGGCTTCCACCCGTCGGCCTGCGGTGGCCTGGCGCACTCGGCGCCGCTGCCCGCCGCCACCGCACACCCGGCGGCCGCAGCGCACGCGGCGCACCACCCGGCGGTCCACCACCCCATCCTGCCACCTGCCGCGGCCGCCGCTGCCGCCGCCGCCGCGGCCGCCGCCGTATCCAGCGCGTCTCTGCCTGGCTCCGGGCTGTCGTCGGTCGGCTCTATCCGGCCCCCGCACGGCCTGCTCAAGTCTCCGTCGGCCGCCGCCGCCGCCGCCGCCCCGCTGGGGGGTGGCGGCGGCGGCGGCGGGGGCAGCGGGGGCTTCCAGCACTGGGGCGGCATGCCGTGCCCCTGCAGCATGTGTCAGGTGCCGCCCCCGCACCACCACGTGTCGGCCATGGGCGCGGGCAGCCTGCCGCGCCTCACCTCGGACGCCAAGTGAGCCCGCGATGCCGGCGCGTTCCGCCCAGCTTGTGGGGAGGGAGGGAGGGACCCGGAGGCCGCGGGGAAACGGAGCCTGCCCGGCGCTCTGGGCGCTGAACCTCGGGCTGCGGGTGGGGGGTGGGGTGGGGGAGACTCCAGCACGTGGCAGCCGCACCACCGGGGCGGGCACAGACCCCTGAACAGGGCTCGCGGAGCCCTCGGTGGCTATAACCCGCGCGGGTTGTGTAGACTGCATCGTGTAAGAAGGCCGCTGCTACGTGCGTCCCAGCCCCAGGAACAAATTCTAAAACCCGGGTTTCCGGAGAGCACGGCTGGACTCCCCGACTCGACCAGGGCGGCGCTTGGTGGGAGGGCGGGGGCTGGGGGACACGTTGGGGCCTCCCTCGCCTGCTCTCTCTGGGCCGATGGGAGACTCCCTGGACCCTTCAGGGCCGACGAGTTGGTTCGAAGCTCGCGTTCCGTAGCCGAGGCACTTGGGGTCGTGTCCAGTCCGAGTTTCTGGCTGCACCCACGGGGTCCAAGACCTGCGACCGTTCGTTCTTCTCTGTGTCTCCTGTTGATTTGGGAGTTTGTGCTTTTCTAATAAATCTGTGGATTTTTTTTATTATTATTTCAAAAGTGTGAGCAAGCGTTATAGACGCTCAGAATAGAACCACTTGTGGATTGGAGCAACGTCCTCCCCCCAAGTATCGATCGTGGAAGGGGGAGGGCGTTTGGTTTTCCAGTTGTTTAAAAACACAAACCAGCCCTCTCCCCACCCTTCTCGTCTCTGCGCACAAAGTTATTGGAGTTTTTTGGTTGTTATTGTTGGTTCTCGGTTAGGGGCGGGTCGTGTTGATACTCGCTGGATCGCCCCAACTGAAAGGCACCTGCTGTGACTATAGCTCGGGGGTCTTTACTGGGGGTTTTGTTGGCTTTTTGCGTGTTTCTTTGGGGGATGTGTAAATAGAATGTCCTCCAGGGGGCAGGTGCGCGGGGCGGGCCCTCACGGCTCGCTCCACGCGGGTTTCTCTCCACGTGCGCCGCCGCCTGCTCTCCGTGGGGTCTTCGCAGCGCCCGCCGCCTCACAGCCCTCCTCCAACCGCGCTGCCCTTCGCCGAGAGTATATCATCTGTTTTATTTTTGTAAAAAAAAAAAGTGCTAAATAATATTTATTACTTGTTTGGTTGCAAAAACGAAATAAATGATGGAGTGTTGAGATTTTAAATAACATGTGAGGCCGAGCCTGTATCATCCGTGGGAGAGAAAGCTCAGGGAGCCCGCAGCCCCTGAGAGCGACTGGATTTGATTGTGCCTCAGGTTTCTCCCGGGGGTGTCAGTGCCTCCCCCTAAAAACACACAAGTTCTCCTTAACACATGTTCGGGACACATCCTTTGGGTGTTTTTTTTCTTCTTCTTCTTCTTCTCACGACTTGCTTGTCCTTATTTTTATTTTCCAAGGAGCGCCTTGCCTTTCCGTGGAGTACTGAGTTAGTTTCAAAGTGAAGCTTTTCTTCCGAGACTTTGGGTCTTCGGCTGGGGGTCCTAGAGGTCGGGCTTCCTCCACTGCCGGGATTTTATTTTCTCTCTGCGCGGAGGCGGTGTCCAGCGCACGGCCAGCGGGATGGGCTTTCTTGAGCTTCAGCTGCGGACCACGCACTCGGGGCTCCAACCCGCACAGCCACAGCACGGGGCCCTGGCCAAGCCCGGTCCACTAACCCTCCTGCCCCTTCTCTGCGCTTGTTGAGACCCTCCCTTGGCGCCCACCCGGCCTCCAGCTGCAGAGTCGGATCCTGGGCCGCGCCTGGAACCGTTGGGGACTCCACGCGCAGCGCTGTGCCCTTTGCGCTGTTTATCCGGGGTCGCTTCTGTGGGGTCTCCACAATCCAACATTGCAACCTCAATTTAGGATGCGGCCCTGAAGACAGATTCTAGATGAAATTTGAAAACAAACAAAAAATGTGGCCTTCCAGGTCAAGGACAGGGACAGCTTCGTGCGCGCGTCGCAGACCCGAGCCCCGGTCCGGGGCTGAATGGCCGACACTGTCTTTGTTGGCGGCTGCCAGAAAGGTCCTGGACCCGGCGGGCTGGCGATTTCCCTGGTTGCAGCCCCATTTCTTGAGTCTGGCCCCTGAGCCCGGCCCACGCAAGCGCCTGTTGCCCAGGCCTGAGGGCTGGCCCCAACCGAGAGCTGTGTCCTCCGGCCGGTGGCTCCAGGCTGTTGGGTTCACGGAAGGAGGCAAGGGGTCAGGCAGAGGCAGAGTGGCTGGCGGATTCCCACAGCGCGTCCCGAGCACCCAAAGTGCGGAGGGCAAGGATCCAATCGTTTTTCAACCAAAATCTCACTTGAAACTTCTCAAGCAGTGACGACTGAGTCCTGCTCCAGCCACAGAGAGAAACTACAGAGGAACGCGAGGAGGTGAACTCCCAAGGCTGGCGCTGGCGCGGGCGCGGAGAGCCGGGCCAGGTGGGAGAGCCGACCTAGTTTTGGGGGCGGCTTCATCCTGATCCGCGGGGCACGGTGCAGGTCGGCGCCTGGGCTTGCGCTGTGTAAGTCAACCCCGGTCCCCAGGCCCTCAGCAGCATCCAGCCGCCAAGCAGCCTGGACCTCGGCCTCCGCGGGAGGAGGGGCTGTGTCCAGCCAGGCGCTGGGCTCTTCCCCGGCCGTCCGCCTGAACCCCGTGGCCGCCACCTGTAAGATCTACGCGTCCGCAGACGCCAAGGAGACTGACATCGGTTCCTACGGATGCGCAGGGCGCCCGGCTACTGGAGCTGGTGCCCCTCGCGGAGGGTGGCCCAGGACCGGCGGTGAGAGGCGGGAGAGCACGGGTCGCGGCCCCTTTGGCTTCGGTGGTGGTCATTCAATGGAGGGAGGGCTCCCCATTGAGAGAAAGAACGAGGAAGGGCCAGAGGGAAGCGAGACGCGCTCAGCGCAGTCTGCCAGGCACCCTGGGAGGTTAGCCGGGGAGTCGCTCCAGCGCTTCAGCTCAGCGCAGCCTCCTCCGCCTACCCCAAGCATGCAAATCTCCCAGCTGCAGGTCTCCCAAGGCCTCCAGCCCTCTTGAAGAACCTGCGCTTGGCTAACCAGAAGGGCAGGGGCAGAGCCCAGTGGGTCTAACCCTAGTGTCCTTCACTGCCCTCTGCTCCCTAAAGCACTGTTCCCGGGTTCCTCATTCTCTCACACGGGCAGGGCTCGCAGGAAAAAGAGGATTTCCTGCACCGAGTGTTGGAAGACTTGCCAGAGCTGCAGGTGCCTCTCTGTGGAGGAGTTGGGGTCCCGCATCCCAGGGGCAGCCAGGGAGTTAGGGTGAGGCACCACTTCAAGTGCACCTGTGTTGGGGGGGGGGGGTCACACTCTGACCTGGCTATAGGAAGACTTGATACCAGGGACACCCATGGCAGGATCTGCCCTTCTCATTCCCAGAAAGAAACCAGTGCAGACCAGGGTGCTGTGTTTTAAAGCCTGCCTGGTGTTCTCATGGATTAAACTACCCCAGTGCTGGAGACGTGCCTGCCTCCCGCATGGCTGAATCCGACCCGCGTCCTGACTCCATGGATGGCGTGAACCCTTTGGTGCTTCCTGGGAAGTTCATCCAAGGCACGTCATTCCCGCCATCCCTGCCCCTCTCTCACTCTAAGTCCCCTTTGCATAGGAAATTTTGCTCCAAGTCTCCCTCCCCACTCCACCTCCCAGTGCCTTAGGGCACCAGCCTAGGTCATGGGTGTCTTCAAGACACCCTGCAGGTGCCCAGCGCCTCATTCAGGGTCTCTGGGGACCTGTAAGGGGTGCCAGGATCCAGACTGGCTTTTCCCGGAGTAAGGGGGTGCTGTACTCAGTCCCTCCCTGGTTGGCTGCGAGACTTGGAACCTCCTGGGTGAACAGGGCCACTCCTTGGCTTGGAGGCTGCATCCCTCACTCCCTCTCAGAGTGGGGGGAGGGCATTCTAGGTGGGACAGAGGTAGGGGTCATGCAACTCTCTCTCTCAAACACACACACACACACACACACACACACACACACACACACCATCCCCATCTCTTTCCCACGGACGGAGTTACTGCTCCACGAAGCCAGTTCTCTGGCAGCGGGCGATTCATGGGAGCGGGGATGCAGTGAGGAACAGATGTGGCAGAGCTGGGAGGAGGGAGGCAGGGCTCCCCTGGGGAGTTCTGGATATTAATAATAGATGGAGGAGGCTGGGAGAGGTTTTGCTGAAAGGAAGGAGCGCAGAGCTTTCCCTAGGTCTGTTCATTCAATCCTCACGCAATTCTTTGAAGAGCTGCGTGTGTTGTCCCACTTTACAGGTGAAGAAACTGAGGCACAGAGCCGGTGAATGAGTCACTCCAGGGCACAGCCGGCACACAGAGGCAGCAAGGCTGTACTCCGGGCGTCTGGCTGCAGAGCCCACGCCAGGATGTCGCCTGACCCGTATGCAGGCTCCACCCCGGCAGTCCCCAGGCCCTTGCCTCGGGAATCCCTGTATCTGACGCGCCCACCCGCTGCCCACGCCCCAGATCCCCTAGGTGATGCTCTCCATACTCCTCGTCGGCGCCTGGACCCCATCTGTCCCTGACGTCCCCATCTGGGTGGCGGGCGGTGGCGACAGGCGTTAGCAATTAGCGGGCTCGGGTGGGCGCGCGGTGCGGGCGGAGGCAGGGCGGGGGGAGCAGGTGAGCCGAGGCGCTCCCTCATTAGGGACCGTCGTTAGAGCCGGGACAGCTGCTGGCCCGGCCTCAGCCGGATCCCGGGCCGGATCCCCCGCGCCTGGGCTGTAACGGGGAACTGGGAACGCCAGCGGGGGCCAGGCGGGCTGAAGGACCGCGCCGGGAAGCGCGCACTCTCCTCTCCGGGCGGGGCCTCGGACCCCAGCGGCTGAGGGCTCGGGGCCCCGCAGACTCTCACTCTGCAACCCCAGAAAACCTGGCGGGAGCTCCGGATTTGGGGGCCACATCTTCGGCTGGGGGTCCCCGGGCTGCCCCGCGGCGGCTCTCCGGGAGCTCTCTGAACTGTGCGCCCATGGCCTTTCCGCTCCTTGCACCCTGGATCCCGCACGCTGCTCCCACCTGCCAGGTGCCCTCCCGTGGCCCGCCCCCGCCTCGCTGCGGTGCGCTGCTTTCCTTTGGCGAGAGACCGCGCGGCCCAGCGTCCGCTCTGGTATGGAGAGGGAGAAAGCAGCGTACAGAACCCTCCAGAAGAGTGCGATTCCCTGGGGGCAGCAGCCAGGACCGGGACACCGGCGGAGCCCACGCACCAGAGTCTGTGCGCGCATACACGAACCAGCTCAGGCTCCCGAGTCTGCGCACCCAGGGCGGCCGGGCTCTGGACGCCGGCTGGCCCTGCTGAGACCTTGGGGAATCAGTCATCGGAGTTAGAGGGTGCAGAGCGCTCCCCCAGCTCACCCAAGAGCTGGGGCCCTGCACTATCCCAGGCTCTGCCCTCCTCCCCCAGGCCTTCGGACTCTGAGCTCTGGGCTTTCCCAGACCAAGCCCCGGTGGCACAGGCCCTGGTGGCTGGCCAGGCTCTGCCTCAGTCCCCCCCCCCCCCCCCCCCCCGCCCCGGCCCAGCTTGCTGCAGAGGTCCTAGGAGCCACTGCCCACCTCCACCCACCCCCATCCGGGGAGGCTGAGATAGATGGAAAGAGCACTCCTTGGTGCCTCCGGTGGGCACCCATGGACTCCCAGCCTCCTGAGGCAGGAGTGCAGGCCGCACCCCAGCTCCCCTTCTACAAGTGGCCAGGAGTGTGCAGGTCGTGGGCA